CAACCCTAAAAACGCACCCCCCCCCGTGGTTTCCAAAACCTTTTTCTGTGGTTTCCCCCCGGCCAAGCATTGAGGGGCCCCCCCCCCCCCCCCCCAAACATAAATTGAGAGGTATTTTCCAAACCTTGGCATTCTTTCATCACGATCATCTTGATGAATCCGTGAAACTTGATTAATTTAATATCTTGTTCACATAATGCATTTATTGAAGTACCTTCTAAACCTTCTGCAATTGACCTTCTTAAATAACATTTGGTTCTATAGTTAACATATTCCAAAAGTAATTACATTATGAACGCCTGGATTTCCAATACCATAAGTTTATGCATCCGAACCAAATTTTTTTATTTAAAAAAAAAAAATTAAATATAACTACGTAATAATCAAATACTAAAAAACTTTATAATTGAAACTTACTTTCAAAGTTGTAGTAATTAACCATTGAGCTGGGTTAACAAATAATTGTCAGTTCGACAAGGGAAAAATGTTACAAAAAATTTCTATAACTTCATCAGACTTCTTTGAAAGTTCAGTATCATTCTTATACAAAGCCATTTTGATAATGATTCGTGAATAAGTTCAAGAATCATGATAGAAGTATCTTTAACGATACGCGACACTAGATCCATGTATTTACAAGTATCAAATTTATTAAAATACATCTTGCAACATAATAACGATGATAAAAAAAAAAAAAAAAAATACGCACAAATCATGATGTTCCTCGATACAACTACGAGATAAGCACCTATGCCTCTCTCTCATAATGTACCAAGCAACAATACTGGCCAATGACGTTAAAATCTAACATCCAATCCAAATTCCTGTGCAAATTTTGCACTTATATGACCTTTTCCAACCATTATTTCTGATTGTGATTTCAAAAGTTTTCTTTACCAAGATTACGACACGACGAGGAACATATGAATTGAATTTTCAAAAGTGCTATAACTATATCAATTAAATTTTTCCATAAATCTTCGAAAATGGTGTGATTTGTATTTTATATTCAAATTTGAGTTCGGCTCTTTGTTTAGTGCATGATTCTCTCAATATAGAATTCTCCGCTGCTGTTCCTACTCCTTGTAATAACGTAATTATAATTACGGTTCTGCAAAACTGATACAACATCTAAATCTGGGGCCCGTTTAGTTGCACGAGTCAATTTGTATTAATACGGCTACAGATTCAGAATCCGATCAAGGACGATATAATCTTATTTAAAGAAACCAAATTTCGTAATTTCATCTCCAGATCCCATAGTGAAAATATTGACCTTGAATAAAGATTTTTCTTCCACTATTTATTTAAAACTAAATTATATAAAGTTCGAAATTAGAAAAATACATGTCAATAAACTAAAAGAAAAACTGAGATTGGAATTTATTCAATTTAATTCATTACCTTCATGTCTATATCTTCCAGTCATAAATCTCCAACGGAAAGTTACAAGAAATTTCCAGCACTTGCTTAACAGCACGATCGCAAGGAGTCTTACTGAATATTTGACTCTATAATGTACAAGCAAGTATTGTGAAGGTAATAAAAAAGCTGGAATAGATTTGAAGATTTTTTACAATTAGCGCGTTTTAACTAGGGGTTTAATTTTGGCCAACGTTGGCCAACAGACATCGGGCCAAAATTACTAATCACGTGCGTGAATTTGGTAATTTGGTTTAAATACACGTTTTGTGTTAAAAACAATAATGGCCTGGGTCACTATAGATAAAGACTCGAGTAACATAGCATTCTACCCAGCTGTAACTACCTTTTGTTTAAATTATTTAAAACGAAAGGAATTCCTCAAAATTTACGAAAAAATGTGAAAGAAAAATTGGTCTATTATGCATTATCCGAGTATTTTGATAAATATGTTGCACATTTTATAACATGTCTCACAACTTCATGAAAAAACAAATATGATAAATTACAACAGATACCTGGGATAGTAATACTAAGCTTTTTATTTTATTAGAGATACAAGTGATGCTGCGGCTGTTATGAAAATATGATCAATTTTTTTCTGTAACTGTGCGCAGCACATATATTCAATTGAATATAATCCAATTCCTCTAAACTCGAATGATATTGAAAATCATACATGATATAAAAAATACTAATTTTTAAAAAAAATTTAAATAATAAAATTTTTTTTAATAATTTTTTGATCGGCTCTGTTAAATAAAGTTTAATCCATCATGAATAAAGATAATTCCTTTCACGAACAGTAAAGAATTATAAAAAAAAATTATTTATTATACCTTTTATTTTTTAGAATCTTTCTCTCTTGGCCGGCAGATTCGACCGTGTTTGTGCGAATTACTATATTTTATTTTAACATTAACTCGGCTTAATTGGTATTTTTTTTTTTTTTTTTTTTTTTTTTTTGCAGTGATTTATTGGCGTTTTTGTAAATATAATATAATTTGTTGTGTTCAGGGATAAAATATTTATATGAAAACCATCCGTTTTAGTCTTATGACCTACTGAATTCATGATAAGTTTAACGCGTAAAGATGGAACGAATAATTGATAAAAAGATTGTGGATCGGAACCTAACGTTAAAGGACTCATTTGAACTTTTTATTTCTCCTTTTTAAAAATTTTTTGGAGATTCCACGATTTCATGTTATTCAGTTTAATAACCCCAATTTTTTTTTTAAAAAAAAAAAAATAAATACGCCATAAGATGGTGACTCGGAGAAGGAACGCAACTTGTTGTTACCATTTAATTACAATTATTCAATTGATAATACACATCCCAATTTATAATAACGTTAATAAATTTATACAACACAAAAAAAAAAAACAGAGTTTAGGATTTGTAACATAAAATGATCTGAGTTCGGAGTCCGGTCATGAGTAAAACTTTCATTTCATGTCAGTTTGTAATATACCCTTTTATGGCTAATACGAAGCCCTTTATCAAACTAAATAAAAAATAATTTTACATTTACTCGTGATAAATATTTGATCATGAATGAAGAAATTTCCGTAAATACACTAATTGTGTTGCTTGAATCAAATAACTATTTGAGAAAGAATATTACACTAATTACTAATTTAGATGAATATAAAGTAATGAAAAAGCAGGAATTGTTTATTTCACAACATGCCAATAAGTATACTTTCAGCTTTAAATTATTTCGCGTTAAATCCAATGAAATTCATCTCCAAAAAAGGAAACCGTACGTTGGACAAATTATTTTTTTTTTTTTAAATAATTAGTGAGTTGATTAATCAATTATTAAACGGATTCGGTTAAAACAAGAACCAACCTTTAATAATTTTTTTTTCTCATGGCACAATTCACGTTCGTTCTTATCCGTAGGCAAAGTTTGTGAATTTTTAAAATGCAAAAATTTGAGATTATCATATCGCTCAGCTGTTCGATTTCCGTTGTCCTCCTTTTTTTATTAAAACAGACAGATAAATAAAAAAATCCTTATGAACGTTATTGGAGTTATATTCCGAAATGTACTGTAAAAACACATTTGAACTTATTTATCGAATTGTCTCTTTTATAAATATGAGCTAACTGTTTTCAGAAGTTCATTTGTTTTGGGTTTGATGTGATAATTTTATTACTTTATACTTTTCACCAAAATTAAAATTTATCTTTTTTAATTTAATATGTATGTATAATATGAATAATCTGAAACACTTATCTAATGGTCTGTTTGCAACACCAATAAAATCTTTGAGATAACGAAATTCACATTTTTAAATTAAATGACGTAAAGTGTTGAGCTTCTTGATTTGTTGATTTTCAGCCATCGGTTAAGTGAAAAGAGATCCGTTAATTATATTATATTGATCAATTTACAATATATACTTTTATAATTTTAATTTAAAAATATACGCAAATAATAATTTTTTTTTTAATAAAAAAGTTTTCTCTCGATGTGAAAAAATAGATATAAAATAATTATTCAATATGATTGTGTTAATTATTAATCATTTGAAACCTGCATTTCATAGTCAATTTCAAATCCCCAAACATATTTCATGTAAGTTTCAAAACCCCCAACAATCAAAAAAAAAAAAAAATTTCAAACATAAACATGATTATTAGTGAAAGTGAAGAAATTTCCATAAACACCATAATCATTATTAGTTAATATGCAATTAAATATTGACCCAAATAAAACAATCAAGTTTTCAAAGCAATAGATTTCTATTTGAGAAAGAATTTCACAGTAAAATACATTGCATTGCTTACTAAATTCAAATGACAAGAATAAAGAATTTACCTTTTAAAATTCCGTATTTATCCAAATCATATGAACTCATTCATAAGCTTTTTCAAAACAAATCAGTTGTACATCGGAACTTTAAGTATTTCTCACATAAATCAGATTTATTTAGTCGCGAACTACATCACCAAATATACCTACGTCTCGACCATCAGATTTTGAGAATTACGAGTTACACAAGTACACGGTTACACAATGATATAACTATTTCATTTATACACTTATCCTAAGACAAGCTTGTGAATGTAAAAAAAAAAAAAAATAATTTAATTAATTGATGATTTTATTAAAAAAAAGTATGTCGAGGCTTAACGTTAGATTTTTTATTTTTGCGCAGTAATTATGTGGCTGAAAATTATATTCACTGAAATCGTTAACATTGCTTTTATTGATACCAGATGTTTGAACCAGTTATCGACGTCTTAAAACGGACGTTGGACCCTTTGGAATTGATGGACTATCCTTTACAAATTTGGACTTTAAAGACTTTCTTGATCAGTTTGCTTTAAAGCCAAAAATTCAGAATAGTGAAAAGGATCACGAAGGGCCAACCTCTCTAGAACAACCATACGAACCAATCATACTTGAGTAATAGATAAATATCTTACGAGTCCACTCGAAAAGATAAGTCTACGATATTTTCTTTTATGAACATGCTAAGGAGAAATCCCAAACAAATAAAAATAAAAAAATATAAATTATAAAAGCTAATCAATGAAATCTTAAACCCAAATAAAAGAATCAAGTTTTCAAATATTTTGACCTTATGAACAATATTCCCAAACACATAAAAATAAATAAAATAAAATTGTGATGATTTTGTATAGAAGCATGATCGGAATGATAATACCGTTAACCGCTAACCAATGAAACATTAAACCCAAATAAACAAATAAAAGAATCACGGTAAAATAATACATTATAAGACCCCTTTAATGTTTCGTATTTATGAAACTCATTCATAAAGTTCTAAAACAAACCAATTGTAAGCTGGAACTTTATTATAGTCACGGCCTACGTAAGGACCAAGATGTTGTAAAATAAAAAGGTTCTTATTCAATGACCACGATCATGTACTTATGAACATGATTGATTGTCAATCTTTTTTTCTTAATTAAACTTTATTATTTTTTTTTTCTCATTGCAACCATACATTCCTTTTTTTTTTTTTTACATCAAAATTTGCCTTTAAATTGTTATCCGCAGGCAAGTCTATACTATATTCATTTCAATAGTTCATGAAAATATATTGTTTTTCGGACATATTGTGGTTAAGAAGGTTCAACTTTTCCTTTTTTGGATACAAGAAACAAAAATTTTTTTTTTTATGTAAATAGAATTGAAATTAGAATTAAAAAAAAAGAAAAAAAAATTTTTTTATTTAATATGCAATTCATTAATTAAGGTATCTAAATTTGGATTTTTATTTTTCATTGCCATGCAAAATCATATAAAAACGCGAAAAATTCTTTGACCCATATCGTAAAAATATCCTACATAAACTTAAATTCCTTTTCCTTCTACCTATCAAACTTTGAACTTCTTTATAAATAAAAATGTCTGAAAGTTTTTTAGAACTTATTCTTGTGGATTTCCACAGAAAACTTTTAAAAGCTTACGAGACCAAAGCCAAGGAAGACATTACAGCTACGATTCACAAATGGATAATTTTCCTTTTAGAGTTTAGAAACTTAAATTTCAGCGAAATTATTCAACTAATGGAAAGGCACTCAAATAATGAACGCAGATTTAGTAGTTTAATTGGCATTTTCTACAAATTTCAGCTGGGAAATAATGAGAAAGCAGAAACATTATTTAACAGCACAGCAAACATTCAATCAAAAGACCACATCGAATCGCGCAATTCACAAAATAATCAAATTTTATTGATCGTATATTACGAAAATAAAATAATGAATGAATGCAAGGTACTAGATGATTTTGGTGTGGATGAGAACGACGCCTTCGATGATTTCATGAAGTCAGAAGAGGGTGACCCTCATGCACAGTTTAATTTAGCATGCTGTTATCATCATGGTAAAGGAACAAAGATAAATTTAAATAAAGCATTTGAATTATATCTTAAATCTGCCAAAGGAGGACATTGCTTAGCGCGATACGTCACAGGAACATTTTATATAAATGGAAAAGGAACCGATGAAGACAAACAAAACGCCTTTAAATGGTGTTATATTTCTGCTAGAGGAGGAAATATCAAAGCACAATACTTCACAGGCCAATGTTATAGATTTGGAATAGGAACGAAGAAGAATGAAATAAAAGCATTTGAATGGTATATGGTTTCTGCGGAAGGAGGTAATGGAGATGCGCAATTGATGTTAGGAAATTGTTACGAATACGGTACGGGAACTGATGTAAACAAAAAAGAAGCGATGGAATGGTATTTAAAATCTGCATACAGTGGAAATGCAGAAGCACAATATATCATGGGAAAATTTTTTTATTTTAAAGATGATGACAAAAAAGCATTTGGATGGCATCTTCTTTCTGCAGAACAAGGAAACTGTGGCGCTCAATGTTTTTTGGGACATTACTATGCGTATGGTATAGGAGTTGATATAAATTTGGAGGTATCGTTCGGCTGGTACTTAAAGTCCGCTGAAGAAGGATTTTTTGAAGCGTTTTCTCATGTAGGAGACTGTTATTTATATGGTCGAGGTGTAGGTCAAGACGTGTACAAAGCGTGGGAGTGGTATTCCAAATCCATCCAAGGAGGAAAGTTGGCTGCTAAAACAGTGTAATTTAATATGATATTTTAATTATAAGGTCAAATTTGACACATGTTCTATATATGTAAAAAAAAAATATTTAAAAAGGGGTAAATAGTGTCTGGGTAACAAGTAAAAAATCTATCAAATTTTTTAATATACATTTTAGCAGTTTAACGATGAAAAATAAATTTTTGCAATAAGCATGAGAACGCGTGGATTGTCCCTTGGTAATAATAAATAGCTTATTAAATTAAAATGATAGTTTAATCGTTAAAGATTATGCCAATGTTTTTGTAATTTTTTTCAGGACATTTACTTGGTAATGAGCGTTCTTATTCTGAACCTTAAAATTCAGGATCTAGCGCCATAAACTAAGGTTAACATATTTTTGCTTGTATAACATATACAGAAAACTTATTTTGGTTTACACAAATTAATTTAAACAAACCTATTTAATGCTGATGAATGTTTATACAATAAAAAATTTCGAAACATTATATTGATACATAATGAAATATGACTCAAACCAATAATTTTTTACGCGAATCATTAAGTTTTTAACTTTAGAATTCTGTTAACGAGAAATAGGGGAAACTGTACCCGTGGAATCAAAACAACCTTCGTTCTAAAACGTTTGTCATATATGGCGAAATAAATTATTCCATATCGCGTTTTTGAATGTTGTCAGGTTCTGGAAATTTGTTTTAAATTGGGATATGCGATATTATGATTTGATATTGTTCGGTATGTTTTTCGAAGAGGCTTTAATTCCCTTCACCTATAACTTCATACAAGAAAGGTCCTTGATTAACAATATTCAAGTCAAATTTTCAAGGTAAAGAGAGTTAAGTATACAGGCATACATTTTTTTTTTTTAGGGTGTAATAAAAATCTCTAATCGACCCAGATTTTTTTGCGCTAAATTTGGTAAATTTAGGTGATAAGATCAGGTGTAACGAGATGATACAATGCAGATCATCTATCCAACAGGGGTGACCGTTCTAAGTTATACGAAATTTCGACATTATCACATAAATCAACCAATAAAATTACAAAGTTTCGATATTATCACAAATTAATTAACCAATCAATTTTGGAATTTTTTAATATGTAAATATCGATAAAATTTTTGTTAGGCAAAATAACATATTAAAAAATATTGACAACAAATTATTAATTCATTTAACTAATATAATTGAATTTTCCGGTCAATTAAATCATTTTTTTGGATCATTTTTAGGCGTTTCAATAGTTTATTTTATTTAAAATATTAATAAAAATAAAAATTTTATATAAAAATGGCAAATTCACAATTACAAAAATGATTTTTTTGCAAATTCAAATGAATTATCTATAATTAAATCGTCCATTGCTGCTTCAGTATTATTTAAATTATCCTCACCTTCGTCTTCTATATTTTCATCAATGATATTATTTTTTATTGAACCTTTCATCATATTCGTTAGCAATACATCTACATTTTTTTTATTTTATTCTGAAGATAATCTAGATAAATTAAACACTTAAATTAATATTTTTGGAGGCAATTACTATGATAACTATGCCTACAAGCTAAAACACTGCCATTGAAACGATCATTAATCTGATCACTATATAAAGTTACATAATATAAACATATTAGATTTTTTAAGAGTAATGAAGCCTCTTAAAAGATGTTGATCTGTAATTTTATAATTTAATGAAAAAAGTTTATAAGTATTAATAGTATCAGGCGAGAATTTAATAAGTAAAAGAATGTGATCACACATTTGATATATCTTAGAAAATGCCTTTAAAAGCCATATAGTACACTTTTGAGTAATTTTACGTAACTGTTTTAGCATGTATAGATATTTCACAGAATGTACGAAATACTGTTAAAATGAATTGTTATATCATTATTAAAAAAATAAAATATGCTTCTTTTCGCAACTGTTGAGCTATAAAAAATTTCGCTATACATCTTCAAATAATGCTATGAGCGGTTTTTACAGAACTATCACTTAAAGAAGCAAGATGATTAGTAATAATATTAATTATCAGATGACTAATTTCTATCTAATAAAAAATATCAGAAAAAATATTAATAGCGCATGTTTGTAATTCCTTTTGTTAAACTTAAGGAAAAGATCACTCCAACATCTTATACAAGCCTCTTCATAAGCTGGTCAATTACTTCCATGATGATGGACCACATAAACATTAAGAACAAGAGGAATCAAATTAGAAAAAAAATTTATTAAATATATATATTCGATATTCTTATATGTATAATCAAATTTAGAATAAATAGCGTCAGCTATATCAAGTCACACCATACGTATAATATGTAACATCAGTAATATTTCGCAAAATCAGATCAGATCAAATTTGAATAAAATCTGATCTGATCTGATTTTCATTTTTCAGGATCTAAATCTGATCCAAATCTGACAGACCGAATCTCAAATCTAGATTATACAGATCAGTTTAAATCCAAATCTGATCTAATCTGAATCTGAAATTTTTATTGAAAAATGATTTTTCAATTCTAAAAGAATTCCAAAAAGTCATTCCTTTACAATGTAAGAAACCTTTTCAACTCTAAAAGAATTCTGAAAAATCGTTCCTTTACAATTAAAGAAACCTTTTCAGCTCTAAAAGAGTTCTAAAAGTCATTTCTTTTTAATAAAAGAAAACAAATTTTCAGTTCTAAGAGATCTGAAAAATTTTTTCTTTCAATAAAAGGAACCTTTTCAGCTCTAAAAGAATTCTAAAAAGTCATTCCTTTATAATGAAAAGAATCTTTTTAGCTCTAAAAAAATCTTAAAAGTCATTCCTTTTTAATGAAAGGAAATAAATTTTCAGTTTTAAGTGGTCTGAAAATGTTTCTTTTCAATAAAAGAAATCTTTTTAGCTTTAAAAAAACTCTAAATTCTTATTTTTCAATTCTAATAAGGTTTAATCTAATTTAATAAAATTTTATATAATATATAATAATTAAATTTTATTTTATAAATTTTATTATTATAAATATAAAAATAAACAAATAAATACATAAATAAATAAAAAATAAAAATAAATTTTTTTTTAAAAAATCTTTTAATTGCTACTTAATTATTTAATTTATTTAAAGGACCAGTCCACTATGATTTTAAACACATACAATATCTTACTGTTTTTTCTAATAAACGATTTCTTTTATCTGTAATTAAATTTTTACATATTGAAAAACTTTGTTCAGATAGAACACTAGTAACAGGTATTAATAAATAATCTCTTGTCATTTTGGATAAATTTGGATATTGACTTTCATTAATTTTCCACCATTCAAGTAGATCTGTTTTTTCACCACATGTAA